AAGAGCCTGGACAGTACCTTTCAGGAAATCATAAAGGAAAACTGCCCTGAAGTCCTAGAACCAGAAGGGAAAATAACCACAGAAAGAATACATCACCTCAAAGAGATCCCAAATTGACAACGCCAAAGAATATAATAGCAAAATTCCAAAATTACCATATGAAAGAGAAGGTGCTGCAAGCAGCCAGAAAGAAACAATTTAAATATCATGGAACCACAGTCAGGATTACACAGGACCTCACCCCTTCTACATTAAAAGACCGCAGGGCGTGGAACATGATATTCAATAAGGCAAAGCAGCTTGGATTACAGCCAAGGATCAGCTACCCTGCAAAAATGAGCATGATTTTTCAAGGGAGGATATGGATATTCAATGAAATAGGGGACTTCCAAGCCTTCCTGATAAAAAGACCAGAGATCAACAAAAAATTTGATCTTCAAGTACAAGACTCAAGACAGACATGAAAAGATAAATGGGACAGAAAGATACAATATGTTGTTAATAAGTATGGACTGTTTACATTCCTGCAAGGGAAGATGACACTTGCATCTCTTCAGAACTGTATTGTTATTACACCATGTTAAAGGAGTATACATAAACGGGGTGGATATTTGTTAACTTTGATGTTATGATAAAAAAAAATCTAATCAAGTGGGTTAAATGGATCCAAGTAAGTGGATTAGTCTGATCTTAGAAAATGAACTGTGAAAGAAGGAGGCAGACAAGGGTAAATTACATTACAGAAAAAGACAGAAAATCCTATTACAGCAGAGGGAAATAAGGGAGGGGGGTGAGCATTGTTTGAACCTTACTCTCTTCAGATTTGGCTCAAGAAGGTAATAACTTAATCAGTTAGGTATAGAAATCTAACTTGCCCTATAGGCAGTAGGAGGGAAAAGGGGAAAGAAATGGGAGGGGAAATAGAAGGGAGAGAAAAAGCAGTAAGGCTAAAGGGGAAGAAACAGAAAGGGAGGGAGGGACTGAGGGAGGCAGTGGTCAAAAGCAAAACACTAGTGAGAATTTGTACTTACAACTTCACTAATGTGAAAATACGTTTAATAGGAATGTAAATGTATAGCATATATCAGATTGTGTGCTGTCATAGGGAGGATGGTGGGGAGGAAGGGGAGAAAAATTTTAAACTCAAAAGCATGTTGAAGTGATTGTTGATAAATCAAAGTAAATTAATAAAATAGAAAAAAATAAAAATAAATAGATCTGGGAGGGGAACACCCTCACGGTTTTTGACCAAAATTGAAATAATTGTTATTTACATTCATTTTGAGCCAATCAGGCCCAAATAGTGATGAAGTAGGGCTTAATTTGGGACCAGTGATTTGGGGTTCAGTCTGATTTTTAAGAGAAAACAAAAAACAAAAAAAATTTCTTTCTGTGTCATACCCTAGCCAAGAGACATCTCCTCCAAGGTATATCTTCTCTAACAATAATGTCTCAGCAGCAAGAGAAGTCATAGGTGAGAAACGTGAAAAGCAAAGGATAAATCTCAATTCTGGGAGGTGGTCCAACTGAAGGGACACTTTGTGAGTGAAGGGAGAGAGATCTGTAACAAGACATGGGCAAATCTGTAGCTAGTGAGAGAGTACTATACTTTATGGACAACTTCATTCCAAGGAGAAAAAGCTGTGACCCATCATCTAGTGGCTGCAAAGCAAACGTCTGGGTGCAATGGAAAAACAGTTAAGGACAGCCAACTAAAGAAATGAAGAAACAATCAAAGAACCCTCACCTTGATATCTAATCTCTCCACTCATCAGCTCTTTCCACAGCATTACAATCTATGATAGACCTCATATTGGTCTGAGTAACTTGACTCTAACATAGTGATGTCATCTTGGTCCTCTTCAAGAAAGAAGGACATCAAGCAACCAACCCTTACAATGGCTACACTCTCTTCTCTTCCCCATTCTGACCCTTTGGCTAACCAGTCTGCCAAATGCTATACTGTCTTCTCTAGAGGGCCTTCCCTCCTTATTCTTTTACTGATCTTGTCCTACCAGACGTTAGCCTTGGATTATTTCCACCATCTGATACTCTCCTACTCAGATGTAACTGAACAAAGACAAAGGAAATGACAAAATCACACTACAAATTTACGTTACACAATCTCAAATGGGCCCTTAGTGCAGCAAGGTCATCCCTCTTCACTAACCTACTCATCTTTTCTAAACCTTTTCATTTCTCCTTCCACAAACCTCATACTCAGCTGAGAATCTTGCCTCATATTTCACTGAAAAAAAATGTGCTTCAATCCTCATGTCATATCACTCAGATGACAATTATCTCCTTCTTCAACCGGTCTCACATCAATGGATGGTCCTTCTTTCCAAAGCCACCAACACCGAAGCTTATTCCATTTCAGCTTCTTAAGCATGTTGCTATTTCTATTATCCCATCCTCAGTCTCTCCTTGTCTACTGGTATGCTTTTTTACTGCCTATCTTTGTCTCCACAATTCTCAAAAAGCACTCCTTTCATCCCTGCTATTTTTCATCCAATATATCTCTTTCTTTTGTCTGGTCCTTTACAAGGCTGCCTACACTTTTTTTTTTTTCCCTCTTAGGTTCTTTAGAGTAGATTCTACACTGAAAAGTGTTCTCTGCCAAGTTACTTAATAGTCAAATCCAATATTTTTTTTTTCTCAGACTTCATTCTTCTTGATCTCAATACAATCTTTAGCACTGTCCATCATCCTCTCTTCCTTCTCTGTAGGTTCCCTGGATCTCCTCCTACCTGCCTGACTAGTCACTCCATCTCAAGGGTACTTATTTCCCCACAAACATAGATCATGTCAACAAATGCTAGCTCTACCTTTGTTTCTGTTCTCTTCTTTACTCTTTACACTACTTCACATGGTAATCTCATCAGCTCCCAAGCATTCAGTTATAACCTCTATATCTACTTATCCAGTTCTAACTTTTCTCCTAATCCCCAAACTCACATCTTCCACTGCTTAAAGGACATTTCTAACTGGATTCGCATAGACATCTTAAGCTCAACATGTCCAAAACTAATCTCAGTATTTTCATTCCCAACCTTCCCCCACCCTAACTCTTCCTAACTTTCCTTGGATTTTCTATGCTGTCACCACTTGCACGAATATTCTGACATTTTTAATTTCTATGTTATTCTTTCTTCACATTTTCTTGCCTTATTTGTCTTCACTATAACATGCTGAAATTCATCACCTCTACTATGGCTTGACTTTCCTCATTTCCCAATCTAACTCTGTATTTAACCAGTTCAGCTTTAAACTGTCTTCTACTTCTCCAATAATCAATCAACAAGGATTTATTAAGTGCCTACTATGTGCCAGGCACTGTGCTAGGTGCAAATGCAACCCTTTTGGATCCCTGTCTCTGTGCTATTGCCACTGACACTTTGCTAAACACCAATTTATAAACCACATCTACTACTCATATGCTACTAAACAGTGCTGGTGAAAATCATATACACACACACACACACACGTATGTACACACTCGTATACACACATGCACACATACGTATACATACACATATACACACATATACATATACATATATACATATATGTATATGCATATACATATAGATATGGGAGAGAAGGTTCACTAAAAAATTTATTTAATCTTAATTGGACTCTCACTAAAATTGGAAAAACCTTTTATTCTTCCCTCAAGGACTATGTCATTCTCCACATAACCAATGGCTTCTTAAACTGTCATATTTGATCCTTTTTCTTAACTTTCTGGATGCTTTCTCTTCTCTAAGTTTTCATGACACTGTACTCTTTTTGCTTTAATCAGACAATTTTACTGTAACCCTGGGAAATTCCCTTAACTTTGCTGTGCCTTGATTTCCTCTTCTGTGCAAGGAGGGTGTTGGACTTAGTGGTCTTTAAGATCTTTCCAAACAATATGTCTCTGTGACCCCATCACCCTCCTAATTTTCTAATTATTCTCGTTGTTACATTATTATCTAATATCATTTCTCTGAACCTCAGTTATACACCGATGTTCTCTCCTGACCCTTTTCTCTTCTAGTATATGACTCATAGATACCACCCACTGCCATTGGTTTAATCAGTATATATGCAAATGGTTTCCAGATCTATACAAACAGCCCTAGAACTCTAATGAGATCAAGTCCCACATCACCATTTGATGTTTCAAATGAGATGTTTCACAGCCATTTCTTATTCAATACATTCAAAATAAAACTATTTTCCCCATAAACTAACATCTCTTGCTATATATATGGCAATATTTTTATCTCTTATTCTTCTTTCGGTTAACCTTTCTTCCAGTGACTCACTCTCACAACCTCATACATGTATTCACAAATGTAATCAGATGCCAAATCTTGTCACTTTTATTTCCACATTACCTCATACATCTAGGTCCCTCTCCTCATAATACAACTTCAATTCGTATTCAGAAACCTCATTATTTCTCACCTGGATTACTTTTATCTCCTACATGAGGCCTTCCTTGATCCTCTCAAGTGTTAATTCCTCTACTCACCCCAAAATTACTACTAATAAAAAAAAGACGAGGAGGACAAAGAGCAGCTTTTTTTGAAAGGACTTAAAGATTTATAAAGCTCTCTATAAATATTATCTCATTTTATCCTCATAATAATCCTAGGATGTCATTGTTATCCTGACTACAGGCCCAGTTTTTTATTAAATAAACCATCTAAATGTCTCTACATGAGGCTTTTGTGATCCCTGGAGGTATTAATATCTATCACCTCCAAATTTCTGTTATATTTACTTAGTACACACACATCTGCCTGTCTGTGTATCTATTGATATGTCTGTTATCTTCCCCTGATATAATATAAGCTTCTTACTGGTACAGACTGCTTTGTTTTTAATTTATATTACCAGTACCTTGCACAGCCCTGGATGAATAGAAAGCACTTTACAAATATGTGTTGATTTAACTGATGAAAGCAGGCATCTTTCCACTGTACCAATTTAAGGAATTTCACTTTTACCTTTCCTCTTCTTTCTGTGTTTGCTTTCTTTTGTTTCTTCTGCAGATTCTCCACCACTTATATTTAGATTGTATGTAACCAGTGGGGATCTGTATTTCAGCTTCTTAATTTCCTCAGAGTCTGAATCAGATTTCAAATTGCTTTTTTCACAAATCCCTAAGAATGAAATTTAAAAAAAAAAAAGGAATTTATGTGGACACACAAATGGGTTGTGATCTAACATCCCTGGAAGCAGCTTTTGAATAAATCAGATCACAGATTCATCTGAGTATTGAGTACTTAAGATCTATCCAAACTTCACCTCACAACTACAAATCTTTTTTAACAAAACATTTATAATACTTGGCTTCTTGAGCTAAAATGCCACATTAAAAAAAGGGTTTTTTCATCTTTTTCATGTTGTCAGCAACTAGATTATGTCATTGGACATATTTAAATGCTATAATGGTTCCCAACAATTCTGTAAATGGCATCTGTTTGAAAAAGCTATTAATTTTACAATTTTCAGGAGCACAATGAGCTAATAAAGCTAAGAAACAAACATATTCATGTATATCTTTCTGATGCTTCTCACCCTCACTTCTTGTATTTGTTTCATCTTTCTTTTCAGTAATGTTTTTAGTATCATCTGATTCTTCACTTTCATCTGAGGAAAAATTGGCTTTTATTTCTTCTAAGAGAGTCTTCTTGGTAATCCTTTAAGATAAGATATTTTCTCTAGTTAAGAACAAACTAATTCTCAAATAAATAACACTATGTAATTATGAATCCAAAATAACCCAAGAAAAGTTAAGCAAGAAAAATAGACAACAAAATAATTATTAAAACAGTCATCTTATGACTACATTTATATTTGACTTAAATAGCAAGAACTTCCAAATGTTGTGAAGTAAAATAAGCACAAAAATATATTGTGTCAAGAAGTATTTCTTAACCTAATGCTTTGTACCTGAATGTAAAACAACCAGAAAAAAGAATTCCCTACTCTCAAGGAATGCACAGTCTAATAAAGGAGACCACATTCAATCAACTATGTACAAAAAAGCTAAATATGGCATAAACTAAAAATAGTCTCAGAGGAGTGACGCTAAGATTAGGACCAACCAAAGGGTTCTTGCAGAAAATGAGACTTTAGCTGAAACTTGGAGGAATCTAGGGAAGCCAAGAGGCAGAGATGAAGAGGTAAGGAAAACCTCTTACTGAATGAAATCTTTTAATAACTTACTCTGATATTACTTATAAGATTACTTTCTATCTCTATTTCTATTATGTATATCTTGTGTGTATAGGTATTTACATGCTTTCTCCTCCATTAGGATGTGAGCTCCCAGAGAGCAGGGAATTTTTTTCCTGGCTGGCACATAGTAAATGCTTAATAAAATGCTTGTTGACTGAGTGACTTGGCTTGACTTAACCTATATAAACGATTTCAATAATCTTTCTGTAAAATGAGGTATTATGGCCACTCGTATATTTGAATTTTAAAGAGAAAATTATTATCTCAAAATGCCAATGGATCTACTTTTGATTTGTGGTTCCTGAGTAAGAGACTTAAAATATGAACAACAAAATGTGTATTGAGTAAAACCATTTCTATTAAAGAAAATCACTGTTATTTGTAGATCTATGATAATATAAAAAGCCATGACACTGAGTATTGTAAAGCCCTAAAACATTTTCGAAAGGATCAAAAATTGGCAAATTTAATCTAATTCGGTGTCATAATATCTAGTTTTTAAATATATATATATATATATATATTTATAGATAGATAGATACTAATTCTTATTAAATGTGATTAAGCAAAAGACAATTGCCTTAATTATAAAACTATTTCTATGCATCTTTATAACTCAGTAAAAGCTACAGAAGATTAAAGCCCTCATTACTGATGTTACATCTAATATACAAAATTAAAAAGAAATGCAACTTGTTGTGCCTCTGAATATAAATAATGAATATGCTGTAAATTCTCATTCATAATTTTTGGTTGTATAAATCTCTAATAAACTTTAGTCTCGTTAATGCAGAAAGTTTTTCTTTTAACAAACTTTTTGGTGTTTTTGGTTTTTCACATGCCATAACAATAGTTATTACAATTAATTAAAACTTCAGGGATGAAACCATACCAATTCTCAGGATCATCATCATCTTCTTCCATTAAAACAGGAACAGATGTAGTGTTCGTTTCATCTCCTTGAATTAAAAAAAAAAGTATATTTCATTCTTTTTAATAAGAAATTAAAGTATATGTGTTGAATTTAGTTTATGAAAGCTTTAAGGCAACACTTACAGAGAAAATAAATGTTATTTTGCTTTAAGTAAGTGGGGATATGTTCTTGTTTGTCTGGAGACTTTTTGAGGAAAATACAAATGTGATCAAAACCCAGAGGCTACTTTATATTCTTGAGGTACAACAGGCATTTAATCTTAACAACATAGCAGTACAAATTTATGTGAAATTTACTTTTTAAATTTTAATTTCATTTTAATAAGATGTGTTATCCATATTACAAACATAAAATTATGTCTGTATATGCAAATTCACATATGTAACACATGTCACACACACACACACGAGTAGAGATGATTGATTGGGTGTATGGATGGCAACTCCTTTCTAATGTTTGGCCACTGATTTCCAATTAATTATTGCCAGTTAAATATCAAAGAATCACCTTAAATTTCAACATGTACAGAAACTTGAAATCACCTGTACCAAATCTGTACAAAATTAGCTATTAGGATTTCTTGATTATAGATAGCATTATTTGTTCACCACTGTAGATTAAAACTTCTGATTTTACAATTCCATTTCTCAGTCTCTTATATTCAATTAAACATCAAGTCCATTCATTCTTCCTTTATACTTTATAATGTTCTCAATGTTGATACACTAGGTCAGATTCATGATTATTTTGAGAGCTCCTGAACTGGTCTCTATATATCTAGCATCTGTTCTTGTTGTTCAGTTATTTTCATGACCCATTTAGGGTATTTTGGCAAAGATATTGGAGTGGTTTGCTGTTGCCTTCTCCAGCTTATTTTACATATAAGGAAACTGAAACAAACTGGGTTAAGTGTGAAAAAACATAGCTATACTGAGCCTAACATTGAAAAATCTTACAAAAGCTGGCTCCATCATCTTTTCCACTCACTTAGGCCAACCACATCGTACCACAAAAGGGAGACACTGAGGCCCAGAATGGGACATGCCTAGAAGAAACCTACTACCTTTTAAAAATTCCTAGAGAGAATTGGAGGATCAGAGAAAGAAGGAAAGCCAGTACTTGAGGTTAGAAAAATTGGATTTCAGAGACAGAGATTTTCAGAATATTTACCTCAATTCTATTAAGTGACAGGGCCAAATGTACACCGGGACATAAACTTCAACCTTCCAATTCTAAATTCAGTTGTCTTTATGCTAGCTCTCCTCCCTAAATTTCCATACTTAGGTACCAACTCTCCATTTACTCATATGCAAAATGAGAACGATACTTTCCCTAAACAATTTATAATTTCTTTTGATCATAGAGTTGATAAAAGGAAAATGTTTTGTAAACAAAGAAAGACTTCAAGACAATCCTACACACTAAGATGTTTGCTTATTTTAATAATAGTTTAAAACTATCATAAAAAAGAAAGAAATATATCTCTAAGGATTTTAACATTTTTACATACCTGACAACTGAAAATATTCAGTATTTGATGCATCAGTATTTTCTGCAATATTTATTTCAGACTTACCACTATCCCACATGTCAGATGAAGATAAAATATCATTTTCTTCCTGCTGTTTCTTGGGATTTTCAGACACTTCACCTTTTTTGTTATCATTATCTGAATTATAAGTGGAATCTTCTCTTTTTCGTTTCCCTTTATGATCTTTAAGCTCATGATGCTTTGCCTTGTATACAATTTTCTTCTGAATACTGTCGTATTTTAAATCAGTATCAGACTCTGAAGAACTCTTATCCTCCTTGGCAGCCTCCTTCCACAAAGCTGACTTTTCATCTGCATCTGAACTGGTTTCTTTATTAATTAACTTGAATTTTTCTTCAGCATCAGGCAAAAAAACTTGTCTACCTTCTTTTTCCCACTGCCCTGATGATCTTGGTTTACGTTTTTCACCACTTTCTTCTGAATTAGATGTTACAAGCTCCTTTTCTATGTGTCCAATTGAAGATGTTGTTTTCACAAGCGGTGATCTTTGAAGGTCAGTTTCCTCGTTAAATAGTGCAGTGTCATTATCAGGGATGACTTCAGTATTTCCTGGAATACTGCTCTCCTGTTGATATTCCTCTTCTCTTTTCTCTTGACTAATAATATCTTTCAATGAGGCATCTGACATGGAAAAAGGAGAAAACTTAACATATAATTTCCTCGTTAATGTCTTTACCATGGATCTTCCTTTGCCAACTGAAGATTCATTTGTTTCTAAAAGGGAATTTTCTGTGTCCTTATATATTTCAGTATTTTCATCATTCTGGATATTGATAGAACTTTCTTGATTCTCAAAAATATCTTCAGGTCTTGAAGAAGGAATGGATAGAATGTCCATATCTAAAGATTTAGAAGTACATGCAGGTTCATATTGAAATTCATTTGTATTCTTAACCTCACCAGTTGTTGCTGTTGGAACTATAATTTCTGCATCAGTTTTGTCATTTGGAAACCTTTTTGTTTTTGTAGCAAATATATCTTCCACTTCATATTTTTTATCTACATTTTTAATTTTGGCATCTTTTTTAGCATTCTCATGTTTTCCTTCTTTGCTATTTTCTTTCTTTTCTTTAACAACCAAGCTGCTTATCTCCTTGTTCAAGCATTCTTCTAATGCCTTATGAGCCTTACTTATGTCATTCCTTACAGATCTAACACCTTTCAATTGATTTAACATAGTATTTGAGCTCATTTCTGAATTGCTGGCTATTTGTTCTGAAAATGTCACAAAACTAGACTTCATAACTGTAGTGTTCTCAAGTAGTGTTTCAGTCTTTGTAATCAAGTCTTTTGAAACCATTAATGATGAAAAAGAATGTGTTACAGCATCTGAGTGAAAATCATCTAACTGAGGTTTTTCTTCTTCTTTTGTGGTGGAGTAGAATTTAGGTGGATGGTTACATGTCTTACCACTCTTTTCACTTGCAGACTTTAGCTTCTTTTTATTCTGTTGCCTCAAAAGTGATATATCCTCAAATACACAGTCACAGACTGCAACCAAATCTAACAAAGGTTCTGGGTGGCAAATATAGCACTGCCACTGATTGTTTTCATCCATTATTTTTGAGATTTCTTTTTTCCCTAGATTGCGGGAAATGCATTTTTTGCAAAAAGCATTATCGCAAGAGTCACAACAAATTAGGTTTCCACGTTCTGCACACCATCTGAAATGTACAAAAAACAAAAACAACACAAAAAAATTAAGGCATCATTCTTAGTCAAACAACTACTTAAAGACTCAAAAAATTAAAATTAAGCAGGAATGAAAATCTACTAATTTAAAAAAATGATATAAATGAAAATATTTTCTTTAAAATTATAAATGTAAGTTGGTCCACTTCTGGGAGCCAAGATTGTGCAGTAAGAAGTAAGTCACTCTCACCTTCCCTCACTGACCTGTGAAAGCCCAGAGGGTGTAAGTATGAGTTGACTTTGATGTGAAGGTAAAAAAATCTAATTAAGTGTTGGAAAGGGATTGTACTGGGAGAAGAGGAAACAAGGAGGCAGACAAGATTTACCCTGTAAAAGGTAGGAGGGGAAAAGGAAAAGAAAAGGGAGGGAGGATAGAAGGGAGGGAAGAAGTAAGGAGAGTAAAGGGGAAGAAAAGAGAGGGGGCTAATAGAAGGGAGATGGGACTGAGGGACATGGTGGTGAAAAGCAAAACACTAGTGAGGAGGGAAGAGGAAAAAGGAGAAAGGAGAAAGAAAAGCATAAATGGGGGGAAAGGGTGAAGAGAAAGATAGATAGTAATCATAGCTGTGAATGTGAATGGGATGAACTGCCCCGTAAAATGAAAGTGGATAGCAGAATGGATTAAAAACCATAATCCTACAATATGCTGTCTCCAGGAAACACATTTGAAAAAGAGTGACACATACAGGGAAAGGTAAAAAAAAAGGCTGGAGCTGAATATATTATGCTTCAGCTGAAGTAAAAAAGAAAAAAACAGAGGTAGCAATCCTGATCTCAGACAAAGCAAAAGCAAAAACAGATGTTATCAAAAGGGATAAGGAAGGAAACTACATCCTGCTAAAAGGCACCATAGACAATGAAGTAATATCATTACTAAACATATATGCACCAAATGGTATAGCATCCAGATTCTTAGAGGAGAAGTTCAGGGAGCTACAGGAAGAAACAGAGAGCAAAACGATACTGGGGGGGACCTCAACCTCCCCCTCTCTGAACGAGATAAATCTAACCACAAAATAAACAAGAAAGAAGTTAAGGAGGTGAATAGAGCATTAGAAAAGTTAGGTATGATAGACCTCTGGACAAAACTGAATGTGCACTCTAAGTAAAGCTTAACCTTTGTCCTATTTACTGACTTCTACCAGCCAAACAAGATAAGACTGGCTGCATCCAGTTTTACTTAGTTACTTTTCTAGTGGTTGTTTCAATTTTATGGAAACAAACATTTTCCTTATATCTCTGACTAGGAAAAAAAAATCTCCAGGGCCAGATGGATTTACAAGGCAATTCTATCAAACATTTAAAGAACAATTAATTCCAATACTATAAAGATAATAGTCTATATAGTATAGTCTCGGGAAATTAGTGAATAAGGAGTCCTACCAAATTCTTTTTGATACAATATGGTGCTGATACCTAAACTGGGAAGACCCAAAACAGAGAAAGAAAATTATAAACTAATCTCCCTAATGAATACAGAAGCAAAAAGTTTAAATAAAATATTAGCAAAGAGATTACAACAATTTTTGTCAAGGATAATACACTATGGCCAGGTAGGATTTATGCCAGGAATGCAGGGTTGGTTCAATATTAGGAAACCTATCAGCATAACTGACCATATCAACAGCAAAACTAACAGAAATCATATGATTATCTCAATAAATACAGAAAAAAATTTTGACAAAATACAACACCCATTGCTATTAAAAACACTAGAGAGCATAGGAATAAATGGAGTCTTTCTTTAAATGATAGTATGTAACACCTATCAAAAACCATCACCAAGTATATATATAATGGGGATAAGCTAGAAGCATTTCCAAAATAGATGGGGGCAGGGTGGAACAAGGGTGTCCATTATCACCACTGTTATTCAATATTGTACTAGAAATGTTCGCTTTAGCAATGAGAGAAGAAAAAGAAACCAAAGGAATTAGACTAGGCCAAGAAGAAACAAAGCTATCACTCTTTGCAGATGATATGATAAGAGAATCAAGTAAAAAATTACTTGAAATAATAAACAAATTCAGCAAAGTTGCAGGATAGAAAATAAACCCATATAAATCATCAGTATTGCTATATATTACTAACAGAGGCCAACAGCAAGACATAGAAAGAGAAATTCCATTTGAAGTTACTGTAGACATTAGAAAATATGGGGAAGGTTACCTACTGAAACAAGCTCAGGGACTATATGAACATAATGATAAAACACTTTTCACACAAAGAAAGTCAGATCTAAATCCTTGGGAAAATAGCAGTTGCGCAGGAGTAGGCCCAACTCATATAATAGAAAGGACAATCCTGCCTCAATTCATTTACATATTCAGTGCTGTACCAATCAAACCCCTCCAAAAAATTATTTTATAGAGCTGGGGAAAAACAAAACAAAAACAAAAACAAAAAAAAAAACAATCACAACATTCACCTGGGAGAATAAAAGGTTCAGAATATCAAGTGAACTAATGAAAAGAAGTGCAAGGGAAGGTGGCCTAAGTGTACCAGATCTTCAATTGTATCATAAAGCAGCAATCCTCCAAATTCCTTGGTACTAGCCAAGAAATAGGGTGGCGGATCACTGGGAAAAGTTAGGTATGCAAGGCACAACAGTCCATGACTATAGTCATCTGCTACTTGTTCAATCCAAAGACTCCAGCTTCTGGGATCAGAAATCACGATGTACCAAAAACTGCCTGGAACAATGGAAAAATAGTACGACAGAAACTAGGCCCAGGCCACCATCTTATACCCTAGACCAAGATCACGTCAGAATGGGCACATGATTGAAACAGAAAGACTGATACTATAAGCAAACTAAGAGAGCAAGGAGTAGTTTACCTATCAGATCTATGGAGAAGGGAAGACTTCATGACTGAACAAGAGTTAGAGGACATTACATCATGCAAAATGGGTGACTTCGCTGACATGAAATTAAAAAGGTTTTGCACAAACCAAGCCAATACAACCTAGATTAGAAGGGAAGCAGAAAGCTGGGAAAGCAGTTTGACGCCCAGTGTCTCTGAGAAAGGCCTCATGAGCTATACATGAAAAAGTGCTCCAAATCACTACTGATTTGAGAGAAATGCAAATCAAAATGACTCTGAAGTACCACCTCACACCTATCAGATTGACTAACACGAAAAAACAAAAAAAATGATAAATATTGGAGATGTGGGAAAATTAGAACACTAATGCGTTGTTGGTGGAGTTGTGAACTGAGCCAACCATTCTGGAAAGCAATGTGGAACTATGCCCAAAGGGTTATAAAATCATGCAAACCCTTTGACCTGGCAATACCCCTTCTAGGCCTGTATCCCAAAGAGATCATACAAATGGGAAAAGGACCCGCATGTATAAAAAATATTTATAGCAGCTTTTTTTGTGGTGGCCAAGAATTGGAAATGGAAGGGATACCCATCTGTTGGGGAATGGCTGAGCAAGTCGTGGTGCATAAATGTAATGGAATGCTATTGTGCCATGAGAAATGATGAGCAGGTGGACTTCAGAAAACCTAGAGATTCATATATGAACAGAATCATACATATGTGAGCAGAACCAGAATAACATTGTACACTGTAAGTCACGCTATATGATGACTAACTTTGATAGACTTAATTCTTCTCAGTAATTTAAGGATCTAAAACAATTCCAAAAGTCTCATAATGGAAAATGCTATCCACAACCAGAGAAAGAACTATGGAGTCTGAATACAGATCAAAGTATACTATTTTTCACTTTTTTGTCGTTTTTTTCCTTTCTCGTGGTTTTCCCCTTTGGTTCTAATTCTTCTTTATAACATGACTAATGTAGAAATATGTTTACTATGATTGTACACATATGGCCTATATCACACTGCATGCCATCTTGAGGAGGGAGAAGGTAAAGGAGAGAAGAAAATTTAAAGGAAAATCTTTTTTAAAATGTTGATAACTAAAACTAATTAAATAAATAAATGTTTAAAAAAATCTGTAGTTAGAAATCTAATACTTGTGTCCCCCTCATTTTGAACATATACTATAATCTCTGACATTTGACATGATTAAGAGCCACTGATACATTAAATAAAATTATTTCATTATATTTTCTAGATATTATATTCCTACCTGCACTGCTCACCAATTCCTTCAGAATTGCAGTTTATGTTCTCACTCATATAATATTTGTAGCAGTTCTAAAAAGGAATTAACATTGATTTCTACATTTTAAAAATCTACTAAAATGTTAACATTCACAAAGCACAATTTTAAAATGATTCAAACCATTAAGCCAATATCTTTAAACATAAAAGTGGGGTGATAACTTTACTCACAGCAAAGAAAAAAAAAATAAAATATTTTGCAATAATAAAGAAGTGCTACCAAAGTAACAACCCATAAGTAGGGAATGGCTGAACAAAATGTGTAACATAACCATAGCTGAATGTTACCATGCAGTAAGTACAGAGAGGAATGAAGAATTCATTTTAACCATAAAAAACTGATTCAAAGAAAACTCAGAAGATTTCCAAAGAAAAAACTGTATAAATTGATAAAAGGAAAACAAATAGCAACCAGAGAACACTACAAAACATTTCTATAATAACACAACTGAAAAGAACAAAATTAAATCCAACATTGACTAGTGGCATAGTTGATAGAATGCTAGACAACTTCAGAAGAAATCCTTTCTCAAGTAACCTAACTATTTTCAGAATTAATTTTTTTTATGAGCAAAATAGGTATTATAATAACAACACTAGCCTCACAAGTTGTTGTGCATCAAACAAGATTAAATATGTAAAGCACTTTGGAAACCTCAAAGAGCTACAAAACGCTATTATTAAAGATATTTTTATCATTACAACAAATACTAATCCTCAAAAATGTATAATCTCAAATATCCTCCTCTCACCAGAAGCAGAGACAATCAAGGGCAGAATAGTTGTCAAACACTCAGAGTACTGGGTTTGGGTTTTTGGTGGTTTTTTTTTTAATTAAATATTTTTCCTTGTTGAAAACAACTTCAATTCTGTGGATTAAAGGAATACCATAACCAGAAGAAATTGTGACATAAAAATAAAAAGTAGCAACAAAATATATTTTTAATTAAAAAAACCTTAAAGTAAGTGAATGAATTGATATTATAATAAATAATTAATAATAGTTAATTGTCTGAAAACAAGTTTTGATCCCAAAAGGGGTACTGTCATTCACATGGTCGACACTTTTCAGAGTACTTCAGGAAAGTTAACGGAAACACATAAATTAAATGAACATCTTGTTTAAAAAACAACAAACTTGTGTCTGTTTCACAT